TTTCTGTGACAGTGATATAGTGTGATGTCCTTTACTGGGCTAGTGTAGCTCACTCATTACTTAACCATTTCAGATCAAGAGGACTTGGTTCCCGAGCCCGATCTACAAGAAGACGACGAGTAGTTACTAGATGTTTATTAATTTCTCTTATAGTATTTCATTTCTAGTATTTTTCTTTAGAGGACTTATTTTCGGTATTATTAGTACGTTTAAGTTATTATATAAGGGATATGAACTAGAACCTTTTATTTCACTTCCGCACTTATATTCTTTATATACATTTTCCTTTTAAATTTTTAGGGTCGTTACAGGACGATCATAGGAAGATTCCTCACAATTGACGTTGATATTAACACTGACATTTTCGGGATCCATACTCATGACATCCTTAACTCCAGCTGCATTTGCATTAACATTCATATTCGTTTGTTTTCAAGTGGTACATGCTGTGTCGCTACCAACTCCGTTAATTCTATCTCTTCTAAATATTTCCAATATTTTGTCATAATTTTGAACCCGTTTGTTCTTAAGTTCAGCTGTTTCTAGATTAGCCTATTATAAAATATGATGTTAATAGTTAAACTATATAAAGTATTATAAATATCATATGATTCATTTTTTGATTTACCTCTATTAGTTGTTATCAGACCTCCTTGTTAGCTTCAAATTTTTCAGTTAACGGATTCCATGCAAAATCACTCAACCCATGTTTGAATATGTCATACTATTTTGAGAACTACCTTTTTAAATTTTTAATGCGATTGTGGACTAGCTCTTTTATAATTGACATATTTGGGTAGGCATGCTTAACGATACAATCAATAGCTTGTGTGGTGAATGTTCCACCTGATCTACGACCCAAGCAATGTTGAGAGTAAACTGCTTCTACTAATGCATCATCTGATGCATCAGTCTAGTAGATAATGTTACCCACTCGATTTGCAGAATTATTTCCACTATTCATTTTGTACAACATTGCAATACAAAACTAAGAAATATAAAGTTACCATTAAGAACAAAGAATGCATCAGTCCAGTAGACAAAGTTATCATTGTCAATAAGCAGAACTTTATAGAAATATAAAGCGTGAACAATAGTAGAAAATCTAAAATATAATGTTACTATTAAAACGTTAATGTAATACAGTAATTTCGTATAAAATAAAACAGTTGTAAAGAATACAATTTTTAAGCAGTACAGGTACTATAATAAAGTAATCAATTATTATAAGCAAACCATATATCAGCTACTATCATATCCCTAATAGCTTCTCCCCTTCTTGTTTCCTCATGGTTATCCCTAACACCAAATGGAATAGATTCCTCATGAGAAGCATTTCTAAATTCTTCATCAACACCTCTTAGAAGTTTATCGTTTGAATCCTATTTTTGCAAAAAATTGTGCAAAATACAACATGCAAATACAATGCGATTGACATTCTTCAGCCGATAGTATGGTTCATTAGCGCTTGAAATAATTGAAAAATATTTTTTGAAAACTTCGATGGTACGTTCAATCACATTACATAAAAAAGAATGACAAAGATTAAATAACTCACGAGCATTTAGTAGTGGCTTTCTAGAGTATTCACTCAAGTGATACCGTTCTCTCCTATATGGAGTAATTAATCCACCCTGCAACATAAAGCTAGCATCTACTAGGTAGAACTTATCTGAAAACATTACGTAAAGTTATAAAAAAAAATTTTGAAACCTATACACTACATTTTGAAATTCAAACTTTTTAATCACCTTCTGAAATAATTAAAGAATCATCAAGTCTTGTTAACGTATGTTTTATTACTCTTGAATTTGATGTGGTCCCCTCCCACCTAGCAAGGATGTATTTAAAAGTCAAGTCGAATGCACAAACCCCCAAAACATTTTCTATGGGAAAATCTTTTCTCCCACGGAATCTTAGAGCATCAATTTTGGATACTTTGACACGTACGCGCATTTCGTCGATCGCACCAACACAATCCTAAAATTAATTGATCATTAATTAAACAAAATTATACGTATTTACAAAAATTGAATCAAGCAATTTTAACATATTTACCTTAAAAAATAAAAAGAACATAGGATTATTGTCTATTTTTTATAGCACTCGCGATCCATTAGATTGATTAGGGAATTTATTAGTCAGTTTTATTATAGATCATATAATATTGTGAAAATGGCGACTTGTCGTCTCTCCTAATCATCGAAAATGCTAAGACATAACTCGATTTGTCTGCTTGCGTCTTAATAAATAAAGTATTTTGAGTACTTGTTCCTCTACAGTTACACGAATGATAGGTCTAAATCCACATTTTATAACTAGCAGATGACATAACTTCGTAAATGATTGAGCTATCATCCTAATAATGTGCTGACAGAATTCACTTGATACCAAGCTTTCCATAAGCTTGGCTCGAACTTTCTCACATTCAAGCCTTAATTCATGTACATGACTAAGTTTTCTCATTCTATGAATATAAATTCCTACAAATATCACTAAAACTCCCGCTAACATTGTTATACGTTTCGTATGATCCATATAAAAATGAGTATGAAATATCAAATGAGATCTACTGACAAGGTAATTACCATACAGTAGGATTTTTACATATGAGGAAAGCATTCAAATTCAAACAGTTACTAGTATGAAAAATAAAGGAAAAAATAAAGACAAAGAAAAAAGATTCTAACAATAATGATTTAAGAAATAATCGAGCTAAATTTTAACAGAGCAGAGAAGCAGAACATGAGCCACAATTCTCACATACACAAGAGTTTCCTAAATATGATGTGTGTTATGGTAAAACAACCGTTCCTTTTGCAATAAAACTATATATTAAACCTTTTTGACTCATCTCTGAATTTCAATTTCAAAAACCAAAACTTCAAATTTCTCAACGTAAAATAACAAGTAGTTAAAGAATCAAAAGCAGCAAAGCAGAAATAACCTAGCGATCCAAGACCAATGCCGATAACAAGCAAAACTGTAACACCCCAAGAATCTATTCAAAGGTGTTGTCGCTTCCTGATACTCAACCACGAAATTATACATCATTCAGTGTATGTAAATCAGTCTTTGTCACTACCTCAACAAGTATTCGTGTAATGTAAGTTCTTATCCATATAACTCTGAAAGCTCAACAAGCTATCCATTACACAATTTCAATTTATTTACAACTAAAGGGAACCTAGTGCTAATATCATGGTGTTGTCTGTGTATATATTTCAAAAAATCTGCATCCTAATCAATTGTCCCCTTCCTGTCCCCAAATGGCGTACCCGACCCACATAGCACCAACACAGTCCGAAAACATAAATACACACTCACTACACACACTGTTCATGCCAGAACTTGATCTACAACCACACCAACAGACCCTACCACAACCACAGAATACTCAAAGCACGTCCTCACACAAACCAGCCATTCGTTGGCCACACACCCACACAGATGCCCATAATGGCTTTCCGGAACACCAAATAACAGCCTCTTATAGACACTGACAATCTCATGGCCACACACACACACGAAACTACTAGTTTGGTTTTTAGAATAAGCAACAGCCACTATACACAATCATAGTATGTCTCTGGCCTTTTCTTACGACCTCTTATTAACGGCTATGTCTCTAGCCTCAATTACAACATACATCTACCATCTCTCCCCCCTTTCGGACCATCTATTATCTGGTCCTCTCTGCCAATTGACCATTAGTCAGCTGGTTCAATTCATCATCTCGGCCATACGGTGCACACATCACATCACAACAGAGATGGTCATGCACACATACGTAACTCGTCTATTCAGGCTTCATAAAATAGAACGACACCTAATAACAATCTCCGCTCAAGCTACCATGAAGGAACTGAAACCAATCAAACAAAACACAAACGACGACAAAAAAAAAATGGAAAACACATATCGAGAGAGAAAATAAACTGGAAACAGAAAAAGAAAAGAGAAATAAAGAGAGAAATCGATGTCTGCTAACCTGATCGAACAAGAGAAGCCGAAGATGAAGATGGTTTGTGGTGTACCGCTCTTCAGTGTCGGGTTTAGAAGGAGAAGAAGAATAAACCCTAGAGAAGTAAAAAGAATAATGATAAAATGAAGAGTAATTTAGTAAATAAGAAAAAATCTTAGAGGTATAAGAAGAAAAACTAATCGAACTATCATAAAACCACCAAATCGGTGGTTTAAAAAAATAAAAAAAAATCATGATTTTAAGGACCATGATTCAACCAGTAAAAAATTGTACCATGTGTTTAGAAATACAAACAAATAAAAAAATCATAAAAAAATCATATCATCTTCACTGAACTGTCATCCAAACAGACTCTAATACTTCATGCTCCAATAGCATATTCAACATGTGTAATCCCCATGCATGAAAGTTTGATATACTAGTCGATCAAACAGATCATGAGTAGGTCTATTTGTAGGAAGAACTGCTAACTACAGGAGTTTAGTAATGATGGTATGATTTTTTCATGATTTTTTTTTCTGTTTGTTTATACTTCCAAACACATAGTATGATCTTTTGCTAGTTGAGTTATGGTTCTCAAAACTATAATTTTTTTCATTTTTTCAAACCATCGATTCAGTGGTTTAGGATGGTTTGATAATTTTTTTTCTTTATACTCTTAATATTTTTTATTATTTACAAAATTACCCTTGATTTTAAATCATTTTATCCAGACACTTTTCACTCTTCTTATTTTTCTTCTCTAGGGTTTCTTCTTCTTCTTCTACCCGACACTGATTTAAGAAGAGCCACATACCTCTTCTTCTTCTTCTTTTGTTGTTTATATTTATTTTTACATATTTTATTATATATATACATAAATTTATATATGCATTTATATATTTAGTTATATATAAATACATGTATATAATATTTTAATTATGTATGTGTATATAATATATTTAATTATATCTATATTTAATACCATATTTTTTTAATTTTTTATTTATTATTATATATAATAAATCAGAAGTAAAATAAACAATTTGCTCAAATATATAACTATATCATACTGTCAATTCAAACAAAATAGCTGTCACTACCAGACATTAATAGATCATCATCCAAATATGATTAAATTTAAAGAGTAATAAACCTTATACATATTATACAATAATCAATATTAATGAACTTTACACGTACAATACTCAATATTAATGAACCTTACACATATTATACTATACTTAATATTAATAAACTATTATGCAAATCATCCAATCAAACTCTAAAGATAGGGATTAGTAAAATAGGCTGGCTCGAGCCGGTTTCAGTGGTATGTCATCAGGCTAGGGCTTCCTTGATCAACATGGGTATATATATACACACACACACATATATATATGTTTATACATACACATAATCTTGTATGTGTAGATATACCCACATTAACCCACATCATCAAACAATGTTAATTGAAATTTAAACAACAATGTTGATGTGATTTGAAAATTTTAGCAATTTCTTCAAATTAATAATTTTGATTGTTTATTTTTTAAATTTAATAATTTTCTTCAAAAATACAGATATTTTTTAACAAAAAAAAATTGATTTTATTTGCAAAAAAAAAAAGAACAAATTAAGCAATAAAATTCAAGGCATAAATCACCTTAACTATAGTCTTAAAATAGTAATATCACAGCTAATCATATAATTCTTCAAAATTTTAAATTTAATTTGTATGAGAAAAAAAAATAATTAATAACGGATATGATCCCCCTTTGGTTTGATGCATATAACATATATATATATATATATATATATATATATATAGAGCATATATAAACAATGGATAAAAATAATTAATTAACAATTTAATTATTTCCCTCAGCCACTAGATCCCCATAATTTTCTCCTGCTTTTCCTCTTCCATGGAAATCAGTTCTTTCATTCAACCTTGTTCCTCTGCAACAATCTTTCTTTTTGTCTTCATTACCAAAATCTAAAACTTTCCCAGAAAAGTCAAACATTATTTTCTTCTTCTTCTTGATTTTCTTATCTTTCCATCCTATGAAAAAGAGGAAGATCAGTTAAAAATTCACCCAGGAAGAAAAGAAAGAAAAAAAAAATGGCGGATTCAGAGAGAAATGCTCCTCGTCAGATAGAATGCAGTAATAATTTATTAAATGCTGCCATCAACAGTGGAGCTGGTAAAATCACCGCCGTCGTCGTTTTATCCATTCTAAGCACCGTTTCACATCACTTCCTAAAGCCTTTTGGACAACCTCAAATAACTTCAGACATCGTCGTACGTTCTCTTTCTTCTTCTAACTTTTTCTTAATCTCGTATGAACTATTAACGTTAACTAATCCTAACACAAATCAAGAATTTACATGATTAATCTATGATTACCCCATGATGGATATATATATATATATATGTATATGTTTTCTGTTTCCTGTTTGGTACAGATAGGGTTGATTGTAGGAAACATAGACATGGTACGTGAAATGTTCTCTGGATTATTCATTCAGACACTGAGCAACATAATTGAATTTGGTATGATCTGTCACATGTTCGTGTTGGGTTTAGAAATGGATCCGTACGTTCTGCTTCACCCGCCCACCAGAGATGCGATCATGGCGTACTCCGGCATGTTCACCACCATGTTATTAGCTAGCAGTGTGACGCCATTTCTCAACTATGCTACCAGGAGAAGCGTACAATTCACCTTGGCTCTAGCATGTACAGTCGCCGGTAACGACTCTCCAGTGCTAACTCGATTAATAACAAATCTAAAGATAGGAAAATCCGACATTGGAAAGCTAGGAACATCCGCTGGACTTCACTCCGACATGGTTTCCACAATCTTGTATTGCATAGGTTTCGTTGTTTGTCCGACAGACACGGACTTGCCTGTGAGGGTTCACATCAGAGAGTCTCTGAAAATGACTATTGCGATTTTGATTCAGATAATTTTCACGGCGAAGGCTTCGCCGATTTTGCTGAACTGGGTTAACAATGAGAATCCTGAAGGGAAACCTTTGAAAGGTCCTCACCTTGTCATGTCACTAGGGTTCATGGTGTTGATATGCAGTGTGCTTCATGGTATCATTATAATCCGATCTTGAGTGCGTTCATTGCTGGTTTGTTTTACCGAGTGAAGGGAGGATTTCGAGATGGATTATCAACAAGATTAATCATTTGTTGAGAACTCTTTTCTATCCAATTTTTTTCTTTTGGGTTGGATGGACGACGCATTTGAAAAATTTTGATCCGGGGTGGATGACATGGGCGAGATTCTTTTGTCTTTTGATGATTACAACGGTTGGGAAAGTCCTCGGCACTGTCATCTGTGGGTTGATGCTAGGGTTTCATTGGCCTGAAACTGTTGCTCTTGGTCTGCTCTTGAGTGCAAAAGGCCATTTTCATATCTTCCTGGCTTCTTTCGCAGCTAGGGTAATTAATTCACCATCCTTCTCGCCTTTCCCACTATTTATTTTCTCAACATAATAGTAATATATATATGTGTGTGTGTGTGTGCAGAGAGGGACTGTTAGTAACACAACAGGAACAATAATGGTGTTTGTGGCATTCCTCACCGTCGTTTACACACCATTTGTGGTAATGAACATCATAAAGCGAGCCAGAAAACGGGTACCAACTCACAGGATGGCACTTCAATGGCTCGATCCAACCGACGAACTTCGAATCTTGCTCGGCCTTCATGGACCACATAATGTAGCTTCTGCAATAAACCTCATGGAAATCTCCAGCGGAGAAGTAGAACCCGGAATTGTGTTTTACGCCACAGACATGATTGAACTCACAGACCAAATAGCTTCCACCATGAAGCCAAATGAAGGAACTGATCCCATGATGATAAACGACAAGACAGTGACAGACATGAGAGATGAAATCACAGCTACAATGCAATCTTATGTTGATGAAAATGGCGGTGGGATTACACTCAGAAGAATGTTAGCTCTCTCAACCTTTGGCACCATGGCTCATGACATCTGTGTTTTGGCAGAAGAACTGATGGTTTCCCTCATTATTTTACCTTTCCATAAACGCCAAACAGCAGACGGCGTATTAGACTCCGGCCACCCTGGTTTCAGACACGTGAATCGCAAGGTAATAAATAAAAAATCAAAACTTTGATTTAAACCCATTTGCAGATCGTCCAAATGTTCTTTTTTTTTTTTTTTTTTTACTTTCTCGATATATATGTATGTATACTTACAGGTGCTACGAAATGCGCCGTGCACCGTTGGAATTCTGGTGGACAGAGCATTTGGGTTACTCGACAAAATATCAAGATCCCACGTATCAGTAGAGGTGGCAACCATTTTCATCGGCGGAAAAGATGACAGAGAAGCTCTGGCCTTCGCAGGACACGTGGCACGACACCAGGGAGTTCGACTTACAGTAATCAGATTCCTAATCGAGAAGAGTTCAGATAACGTCCCAAGAAGAATAACCAACAGTAGGGTTAGCGCAGCAGAGGTTGAAGAAGAGATGAAGCTTGACGATGAGTGTTTTGCAGAATTCTACGAGAAACATGTCGCAGGAGGACACGTGGAGTATATGGAGAAATACATGGCGAATTCGAACGATACATTCACGGCACTGCGATCGATTCAAGGGCAATATTCATTCGTGATTGTAGGAAGAGGTGGGAGGGTGAACACAGTGTTGACAGTCGGGTTGAATGACTGGCAGCAGTGCCCGGAATTGGGTCCGATTGGAGATGTATTATCCGGGTCGGATTTTTCCGTAACGACGTCCGTATTGATTATCCAACAACAGAGCACTAGAGGACAAATAGAGGGTTTGGATGATGACTTCTCCGTCATGTAATTAGTTCGGAAAGTTGTATAGGAGTAGGAGATTGTTTGTAGATATAATATAATATATATATATATATGTAGAAATTCTTTTAATCAATTCACAAATTTAGAAAAAAAAAATTAACAAAATTAATTCTTAAAATTTAGTTCTTGGGTATAATTTACTTTTTTATGTTTTATATTTATTTCAAATATATAATTTTTTTAATTTTTAAAAGATAAAATTAAAATAATTTAATAATATTTGAATAAATTAATAATAAAAAATATAAAATAATATAATAATTAATTAATTGAAATACAATGTTATTAAACAAATAATATTTTTTTTTTAAAAAGTAATTATTTAATATATATATATTTTTTTGAGAAAGTTGGATCTTATCCATTCCGTTTTAAATAATTTAATTAAAGATATGGGATGATGAGGTGGAAAGTGGGACCCACTGCCACCGTGTCATTGGCGGTTTTGTTTTTCCACTCTCCGTCTCCACCCCCAACTCCCTCGCCATTTCTCTCTCCATTCGTATATATATATATATATATATATATATATATATATCTGTGCAGGTATTACCGTTTACATTTTTTTGTAGCCACCTCGGTTTTCTCACTGCGTAACAGCGGTTATTTCGTCTTCCTCTCGATCTCATTTTCTTTTTTTAATCTCTTTAACCTAATCTTTTGAATGTTAGGTAGCCATTGTCGTAAATTTTCGTTCCTCTTTAAAAAAAAAAAAAAAGAAACCGAGATGCTCTTAATTGGCTTATCCTATCTTGATTCTACGCTGTTGATTTGACTGTTTGCTTTGCTCAAAATTTTTATTCTGTGGTGATTTGGTCAGATCTAATCTATCTGCTTTCACCCACGCAAAAAATAGCTCTGATTTCTTTCAAACAAGTTTGAGCAAATAATTCATTAGATTTCAAGGTTTTTCCAACTCAAAGTTCTGGTAATATTGTGAATGATAGCATCTGGGTTTCTTTCAAACTAATCCAAGTTTGAGAATTTTCCCGGAAAAATTCTTTTTTGAGGATTTAAATTCGTGGGTTCTTATAAAAATGGTGACCGTCAATCTGGGAATGCTCCATTATGTACTAGACCACATATACGGTGCGTTTATGCACAGAACAAAGTTAAGTCCGCCATTTTTCTCCGGTGGTTGGGGTGGACCGAAGCTGGATCTGCTCGAGAGAATGATCAAGCAGCTCTTCCCTGAAGTTGGTCAGAACTGGCCCCCAACTTTGATTCAACCAATCTGGAGAACTGTTTGGGAGACGAAAACTGCTATACTGAGAGAAGGGGTTTTCAAGACGCCGTGTGATGAGCAGTTGCTCAGAGCATTACCGCCGGAGTCCCACAATGCGCGGGTTGCTTTCCTCGTCCCAAAATGTGTAGCGCCCCATAAGATGGCATGTGTAGTTCATCTTGCAGGTATGAATTTTTTGGGATTTTCTCCGAAGTCTTTGATTAGTGATTCTAATTGTTGCAATGGGCCTCAATGTGAGTAAATTTAATTCTTAGGTGTTTTATATTTTCTCAAAAGTGATTGATTAATGCTTCTAATTGTTGCAATTAGAGAAGTTTTGGGAATTTTACCTGAAAAATTGTCCATGTTCTGGGTTTTGAGTTGGTTGGAACTTTGAATGTAGGATTGTCATTTTGTATTTAGGATTTGGATGTTTAAAGTTGCATTTTTGGATATTCAAACTGATTTCTTCTCCTTGTATGATTATTGTTAGCTTTCTTTTCATGAGTGTTTGATTAGGTTGCCATTTGAATGGTAAAACTAAGAACCTTAGATCTTAATTTACTCGGCTTCGTTTGACGGGATGGATTGTAGTAGAGTGGATATTATAATTTAGCTCTTTCTGAGGTGATGGCTGCTGCTTTCCTGGAAGAAGTCTATTAGAAGTATTGCATCATGGCTACATTTTTCTCTAAGATCTTATTTTTTTGGCATTTTGATTTAGGGCTTATTGTTGGTATAATTATCTTGGAAGTTTTCATTGTACAATTATTGTACTGAATTTGGTTGATGGATTGAATTTTTTGGCAGCATGTGTATCAGACTCTTTTGTTGAGAACTTCTCATCCAGTTAATTTCAATTATTCTCTTATTGTGAATTATGTGTAGGGCATCTTTGCAGTAATGCTATTGCATATTATTTGTGAAACTGTTGCCTCCTTTCTGATATGTTCAAATCGGAATCTTGTTAACATGTGGGATTCGTGATCAATTTTGCCAGGTGATATTTCAGATTTGAAAATTTTCTAGATGCAGTTGGCATTGATACATATAATAGACTTCTATGTGTAATAATTTGAAGACAGGATGTTACTCATATCTAAAGTGAATTTTATCGTGAGTAATTAACCATCAAAGCCGCATTTTGCAGGCACTGGGGACCATACATTTGAGCGCAGGTTACGCCTTGGTGGACCATTGTTAAAGGAAAACATTGCAACAATGGTTCTGGAAAGGTTAGAATTGATTTTTTCTGATCAATTACTTTGTGTGAAGCAGATCAACTGTTTTGCAACGATTGCTTGACTATTTTTTGTGAAGAATAACTTTTTACCTTTTTACTTCTATTGAGTGTACATATGTATGCACAGCCCTTTCTACGGTCAAAGACGTCCTATGCTGCAATACGGTGCAAAACTCCTTTGTGTCAGTGACTTGCTCTTATTAGGGAGAGCAACCATTGAAGAGGCACGTAGTCTTTTGCATTGGCTAGACTCTGAGGCTGGTTTCGGAAAGATAGGTGTTTGTGGGCTTAGCATGGGTAAGAATAACTTAAACCATGTCCTGTCATTTAGGCTGTATGTCATCATAATCACTGCATTAACATTTTGCACTTCAAGGTTGAGTTAATGACTCCACGTAAAACAGAAGTATTAGTCCAAGATTTTCCAACTGTTCGATGAAAGTTCCTTAAGTTTTATAATCTAATTAATCTGATTTCTTAATGTTGATTCTTGAAATCCAGGTGGTGTTCATGCTGCAATGGTTGGATCATTGCACCCAACGCCAGTTGCAACCCTTCCTTTTCTCTCTCCACACTCCGCAGTTGTGGCATTTTGCGAGGGGATACTAAAGCATGGAACTGCATGGGAGGCACTGAGAGAGGAACTTGCAGTACAGAAAGCTGCCATGACGCTTGAGGAGGTGAGAGAACGGATGAGAAATGTCTTGTCTCTCACAGATGTCACACGCTTCCCAATCCCGAAAAATCCCAGTGCTGTAATATTTGTTGCGGCAACTGTAAGTACTACATCCTCCATAACATCGCTCAATGAAGGCTTTTAGATTTTGTTTGGAAATTTCCTACCATTTAACTTATTAAGCGAATGAAACACAATATAACTTGTGTGAAGTGAATAAAATACAATGAGGGCTTTCGGTTTAATCTTATTCTATTCTTATTCCGAGTTATTTTATCTATAGAATTTTGAAGTAGTTTACATATTTGATTAGTAGTTTGATTACTTCTACTTATTTCTTTAATTTCACATTGATGAATTAACATTTTCTCTTGTCCGGGAAGTAATCGCCAGAATACTAAATTTGAAACGAACATGAAATTGACTTAGAAGTAAAATTTTGTTTTCATTCAAATTTTTGTCTCATCTTTTCTGTTTGACAGTAACACTTGGAACCAAACTCAACTTTAAAAAGTCTTGATCCTTACCAGACTTAGTTCAATACCTATTTCTTTTAACCGTGTGTGTAATTTCAGGATGATGGTTACATCCCAAAACACTCGGTATTGGAGCTTCAGAAAGCTTGGCCTGGTTCAGAGGTGAGATGGGTGACCGGCGGACACGTCTCCTCCTTCATTCTTCACAATGGTACCTTTCGCAAGGCAATCGTTGATGGTCTTAACCGATTAGAACGGAAAGAGTCCCCTTTGTGACGCACATCATATACGATGAAACTCGTGACGAGGATACTGCAAATATCTTTACTCTGGGGTAATCTACTTCGCCCTATACCGGAAGACTTGTAAATTTCAATCACAGTTGATATTCTGATAGCTTAACCCCTGATATGAAAGGAAAGATGTGGGGTTTTTGAGCTGTGTGTGAATAATTTAATTTATCACCCCCCCTCTGCTACTAGTCTGTTGTAAATTGACAAGAAGCCGATGAAAATTTGTTCATTTGAAGATGGATTTTTTATACATTCTCTTTGCCTTGATAAGCTTCTTTCTGCCTACTGATACTTGTTCTGGAGCTAGGATTATGCTCTTGTGTATTTCAGTACTAAGAGCTTGAATGATGCAGCTTTTGCATTTTGATAAATAATTTTTTAACTATATGGTAATAGTTAAAGTTATTGATTAAAAGTATTTTAATAAAAATATTATTATTTCTAAAGAGGAAAAGTTTAACAAAATTAATTTTTAAAATTTTAAATATAAATTTTTAGTTAAAGTTAAAATTATTTTTTTTAAAAAATTATAAATTATAAATTATAAATTTATTAAAAATTAAATTTTTATTTTGACTATTGACTATTGATCCTCAACTAACGAACCTCTTTACTGCAACTACATTTTGGCGGTGTCCAAGCTAACGAACTCCTTTTGAAAGCTTAATCCTTACCGCCGAAGATCACCGGCGGGCAGAATTAGGCGAAGCAGATGGTTGTTACCTGCAAATTATCTACCTCGAGATCAACCAAATTCTATCTTGAGAAATTCCTCAAAACCCAGAAAAACCTTTCCAAGCCTCCGCCGAGACTCTGGCCCAGTGATCCGCTGCTTCAATCCCCACCTGCTGATCACCAAGGACTACCCATTCTGAACCTGAACCACCCAATCTTGCATAAACTTGAATCATGCACCACTACTCGAGAATTCAATGAAATACATTCCCAACTCCTCGTCTCCGGCCTTTTTCAGCACCCGCTTGCCGCAAGCCGGGTAATAAAGAAGCTCTGCGCCTCTTTGAGTTTGCTTTCTCATGCTGTTTTGGTTTTTGATTCAATTGAAGAACCTGATTCTTTTCTATGCAATACCATATTAAGGTGTTTTGTAAATTTTAGAGACCCTGTTGGAGGCTTGAGGTTTTATTATGGGAAAATGGTGGCCAAGTGCGTTATACATAACCATTACACTTTTCCTTTATTGGGGAAGATTTGTGGGGAGATTGAGTTAGTGAGAGAAGGAGAAAAGGTTCACATGCGAGCTTTGAAACTTGGGTTTGAGTCAGATTTGTTTGTCAGGAACTCGTTAATTCATATGTATGGTGTTTGTGGGCGGATTTGCGATGCACGCAAAGTGTTTGATGGTGGGCCTATCTTGGATTTAGTTAGTTGGAATTCAATGATTGATGGATATATAAAGAATAGGGAAGTTAGTGCTGCACATGAGCTGTTTGATGAAATGCCTGAGAGAGATGTTTTCAGTTGGAATTGTTTGATTGCAGGTTACGTGGGGATGGGGAATATGGGGATGGCAAGAGGCCTGTTTGAGGAAATGCCAGTTAGAGATATAGTTTCTTGGAATTGTATGATTGATGGTTATGCAAGAATAGGAAATTTGACGTTGGCTCGAGAATATTTTGAGAGGATGCCCATGCGAAATGTGGTTTCTTGGAATACTATTTTGGCGCTTTATGTTAGGTGCAAGTATTACATTGAGTGTTTGAGATTGTTTGAGATGATGGTTGAAGGAGAGATTATGCCGAATGAAGCATCTCTTGTTAGTGTCTTGACAGCATGTTCAAGCTTAGGGAGGCTCGATATGGGCAAATGGGTTCACTCCTATGTTCAAAATAATAGAATCAAATGTGATGTATTACTTTCAACTGCTTTATTGACAATGTATGCAAAATGCGGCGCTATGGATTTGGCTAGAGATGTTTTCAATGATATGCCCGACAAAAATATCGTGTCATGGAATTCTATGATCATGGGATATGGCCTCCACGGGCATGGAGAGAAGGCCTTGCAGATGTTCGTGGAGATGGAAAAGAGAGGCCTGATGCCAAATGATGTTACTTTCATTTGCGTATTATCTGCATGTACTCATGCAGGAATGGTTTTAGAGGGTTGGTGGTACTTTGATCTAATGCATCGAGTCTATAAAATTGAACCAAAGGTGGAGCATTATGGCTGTCTGGTTGATCTCCTTGGCCGGGCTGGTTTGATGAAAGAATCAGAAGAACTAGTAAGGACATCACCCGTGAATGCAGGACCAGCATTGTGGGGTGCTCTTCTTTCTGCTTGCCAGACACACTCGAATTCCGAGCTTGGAAAACTTGTGGCCAAGTATCTGATTGGCTTGGACCCAACAGATATTGGACCCTATGTACTATTATCAAACATATACGCTATGGAAGGTAAATGGGATGATGTAGAAAATGTGAGAAATTTGATGAAGGATAAAGGATTATATAAAACAGCAGCATCTATTCTGGTCCAGGTTGGAGAAGTGGGATTGGATTCTTTTTCAGAAATGGGTACACCACATAGGAGAAGAATGTTGTACTCAATGTTGAGTGAGATGGGTGTTGAGCTGAAATTGTCTTGTAAATTCGATAGCTTTTTAAGAGACCAACAAGAATGAATGCTTCAAGGGAGAGTTTAGCGGAGCCTGTTTCTCAAGAGAAAATTTATGGCTTTTTTTCCATGGTGAACCTGTTGAAGCTTAAGAGCATATAGCTATTGCATTTCTCTTAAAAAAAAGGGGAAAAAAGGTGAGGGGGGAAAAAGGGGAACCCTCATGCAGCCAGTTTGAGAACCTACATTTAGAATACGGTGAATTGTGGAAGAGGCATGGTAAGTAATAATTCTTCAAAAATATTTAGATCTCTAAAGATATCATAGCAAGCACAACAACCAACATTATACTGATCGAGATCAATATTGATTATTGCTCGAATGGTAGGGAAGATACATGCACCAGTTGCAGCTGAATTAGGAGATGAAATTTGGGCGATATTCTGCTCTGACAATCAGGGAAATAGACATTGCAAGTTGCAGCCTCTACAAAGAGTCTTCATGAAAACGAACAAAAGGGACTGGAGACAGCCGCTTTTGGATACAAGAGCAGAGAAATGAAGCCAAGGTAAGGTAAGGCAGTTGGTAATACACGAAGCAGATGAGATTATTTCTTCACAATCACCAAATATATGCAGCTGTGATGGAGTTTAATCACAACAGGTCATGATGAAGCCTTAGATGGCTGTCAAATTTTATGTGGATTATTAATATAGAGATGGTGGGTTTTCTGTTATTCAAAGGTGTCTGTTGCAATTTTATGTTAAAAACCAGTAATATACAGTAATCATCTTATATAAATTTCTCAACTTTACATATATCTATGTGTTTACTTTATTATTAATCTAAAGGGTAACAATTGTTTTTAATCCAAGATTTTAAATTCTTAACCTTAACTATTCCTTTAGATCTATTATCTACTTCACTAATAGCATTTTTAGTCTTTTACCTTGTTCCAGCAGGGCCAGGACTCTGAATGGTAAATGGACATAACCCAGATCCAGCGAAACAAAACCGATTGGCCTGTCTAATCTTGGTCCAGCCCAGACATCACAAAAGCCCTGTGAAACTAAAGTAATTCCATGTATTTTTATAAAATTTAGAATGCTCTGGTATTAAGTTATGTAAAAATCTACAAACGAATTCCAATAAATTTTAGAATTCCTTTTCTTCAAAAAGAAAAACATTTCTCTATTTTAAGCCAAAATATACAAGGAGAGTTAGAGAGGCCTTCGCCTTCATTTGCATTTTACATACATTTCAAACTACAAAACAAAAACAACTTTTGGAGACTCAACAGATTACATTACCTTCTACCGGCTGCCTCTGCGCCTGCGCATCAGCAACACTATCATCTTATCAGCATCTATACAAAACAAAAGTATCTTCAAGCCCGAGTATGGTAGCTTCGTGACATTCCCATCTCATGGGATTTACCTTAAGGGGACAGTATCCCAGTTTCATGACCTCCATTGGACAAGCCAAAATAAAAGAAAGAGCATCTTCACAGCCAGATATGTAAAATATGTACAATCAGCACTTCTGGAGCAGTTGATACATTTACAATTGAGCCTCCCTGTAAAAATTAAGCTTATCATTTTGACATAAACATACATGCTAGACCTATTATTTGAATCATTTCCGCATCACTATATAAGATTTGATTGCATCACGCACAGAACAACACATAAGTTGCTCCAAAATGAACAATTGTTGTATTTATATTAAACGAGTAACACATATCCATAGACTAATTTATTCCTAATCTAATTAGGACCAAACTATAATAGGAAATAAAAGGAATTGAACATAAATACTTTATTCACTCCCTCACTCGCAGAAAAAAAAAATCGAGGAATTAGGGGTATTCTTTTGAAAAAAATTGGGAGGAAGTGGAAAAGATAGAGAAATTAGGGTTATAGAGGAATTATGAATTATACCTTCCAAACATATAGAAACAGCTACCCATAGTGTGTCATATTTCTCCATTTATCTTTCAAATCCACCTATACAGAGTAATATAAAATGATAATGTACACTTAACAACTAAAAGGTAGAAAAGGGGTACATAAACAGATGTTTTACCTCAGTTCTCTCTAGGAAAACATCACGGTGAGCATTCAAGATAAATTTCCAATTTCCTTTCCCATACCTTGGTGAAAAAAAAAAAAAAAAGATGTCCTCTAGTTAACAACTTACATAACTAGAATTCAACTCATGCATAGTTCTAAGATAAAAATAAAAGCATACTTTTTAACAGCATTCCGCAAAACATCTTCTTCCTCCAGACTCCATTTTCTTGGTTTCCTTCTCCTAATTATTTTTTCAAGTGCTTGCCTTCTCAGTGGAGAGATAGCCATTCTTTTTGGGCTAGGTAAACGAATTCTATCACCAGGAGTTTCTTCAGAAGAGTTATCCCACTGAAACAAAAAAATAAGAGAAATAAAGCGAAATAGAAATCTGAAAAACTTGTCAACAGATATCAACTGTGAAGCATAGATAGAGAAAATATCAGTTCGCAACAACTCGAAATTAGAGCCTAGAAATCAACACATATTACATAAGACAACATTCAAAATCAATATTTAAGAACTGATATCTACTAAGAATCTTACTGTACTTAATCAATATACTAATATATTAAAAGTGAGGTCTCTCTCTCAAAAAGAATATTGAAAGTAAGGAAAATGACAAACCCTGCTTTCTTTACCTCTCCTGAATGCAAATATACACAGTTTCGGAAAGTAAAAGATTATCTTATATCAACCTGTTCTCTACCAATCAAATCACAGCAATAAAAGCCTCACTTTTGTTCGAATCCCCTTTCATGGACTCTTTCCTCTTCCTTCCATACTATGTCAGGAAATTAAATCTCAATCCTCCAAATTGATGTAGCACAGCAGATTAAGATCTACAGTGACAGAAACATCTTAGGAAAATAAAAGATCTTTCCAATCTACAATTACAAGTCTTGGCCACAACCACAATTACAAAGTTATAAGAACCACAATCATAGGTTTGTTAGGCACTCAATTCAATGAGACAAAACCTATATTTCAATCAAACTGAGGTGCATAATAAGATAGATGTGTCTGGATCTAAAATGTGGAACAAGTAAGGATGCAAAGTAAGATAGGTGCTAAATTTAGGTACAAAGTAGGGTAGGCCAAGTCAGTACATCATTTTGATTCTAAGTTCTGTTGAACCTCACTAAATGGAAAATAATTAATTGGTCATACTATACTTGCTTCACTGGCTCATAAGTAGTCTAAGAAAAACTTCCTCAATCTCATACCTAACTCTTTTTCTTGGGTTATTTGAAAATAAAGAATAAGAGTTTTCTAGAGAACTTGCTCTCCTTTTGAAAAGTTTACAGATCACTGATTCCACACCCCAATATTTTGTTTATCAGGAATCCTATGCCTGATGACAGGGATTATAGGAACCCTGTAGATTTTCTGGTATCTGATCTCTTGTAATTATTGTCTTTGTACACGCCACCCCTTGGTGCCGTTTAATGATATATTCTCCTTCTCTCAAAAAAATTATGCTCTATAGGTTCTTTTTCTATGAGAAGAGATCTAGCACTCAAGTTGTTTTAACTATCACAAGAATAACAATATTCATGTTACAAATGCCTAAGAACTGAATTAATGTATCACATGTTCTTTGAAGAAGACAATCAATATATTTTAAGTTTCAAAGAAAGAAAAAGTTGTTTGATGGACACTTACGCTTCTTTGGAGACCTAATTACATTTTACCCGTAACCAAAAACTGTACATGAAACACAAAGTCCTAAACAGAATTAAAATTTTTATATAGGAAAGTGATTTGTAATAGGAAAAATTCATGGACTTAATATAGCATTTCAGTTGATGACCATATGTTGCCATGTGTTTGGGACCTGATGCTTTGACTTAAGTACTTGAAGATGCAGAGCTACATGTTTCTAGTTGTTTCAAGATCCAATTAAGAGAAGACTTTACATTAGGGATGTTATTAATGAATGAGAAAAATCTACTTAAATATAATCTTTCGTTTGATGACCATATGTTTTCATATGCTTGGCACTAGATGCTTTATATCAAGTCATTGAAGATGCAATTACATGAAGTACACAATGCAATGCAAGTATTATAAACAACTTGCTGCTCAGATTTTAAAGCCAGTGTTGCTGGTACTGCTTCTGTATAAATTTATTAAGTTTTGCTGGTCCAGCCACACTTAAATACAAAATACCTTCTTTTTTTTTTCATTTAATCAATAATGATTTGCATTATCTTGCATGGTAAGTACAGGTCTTCTTATGGTTCAATCAACAACAGCTAATGATTTTAGCTAATTTCTTGAGTAATGTCAACCATGGACTGGTCTAACTTCAAAATCCTTTTTTTGAAATAAAGTGTAGTATAGTATTGATATTAACATAGGTACTAAGGGGGTACCATCCATATACAAAATAATTACATGTCAATCAAATGGTCAATGACCTAACTTCAACAACCTTATGGGATATGAGGTTACTCCATGAAGGAATTTCTAGTAGAATGCTGCAGTTTCCTACTTTTCCAAAAGAAATAAGTGAGCACTTGAAGTCTTTTTTTTTTAAATAAGTACTTGAAGTCTTGAACAAAAATAAGATTCAAAAGCAAAAAAAAAAGTAGATATAGCTTTGCACGGCTAGTGTCGCCTTTTATTCAAATATTTGGACATTTAATTTTCCATAGCACACTTATTTCAAAAAAAGATTTCCATATTACACTGAAACATTGAAAGTCGCTAAGGAAATAAATGCAATAATATCTCAAGGTTCTTTATCATGACAAAGTCTATGGTAGAAGGCTTAGCACTCAAATGCAACATCAATGTAGATATTTCATGAAGTTTAAGTCATGATTTTTTTTTCGAGCCTCAAAAGTCAGCATGCAGTCATGATCCATTTGATATTGATGAAAATTCTTTAAAATATGCAAGTAGGAGGCCAAATCTCATATCTGCTTCAATAGTAAGCATTTGTTGATTTACTCAATATATATAAATTTATGTTCTAGAGGCACACACATGTAAATAAGATAAAATGATATGTAAAATTATTATCTTCTATTATTATTTTTTCTTTATTCTTGCAGGAACCATTCTACTGTTGGTTAATTACTGCATGCATTTACAGATTATCCAACTCTTTTTTTTTTAAATGAAAGAACAGATTATCCAACTCTACCTTGTTAAGTAAAGTTTTCATTATTTGCCTCAAAAAACCATCTCCATTGAGTACAATATTTTTTCTATCATTTTGTTTTAGTTGCTTTTGAATGACGTTTGAAAATTTCCTTCCCTGAAATTCCTTTTTTACTTATGTAGATAAATAACTAGTTGTTTGAGTTTATCTCCGTTCAAGATACATGACTGCAGTGGAGAATGAGATTAATGCCCACGAAATGAGGTTTATTTAAATGCTACTTCTATTAATACTTATACAATGAAAATACAACAAGAAAAATAGTGATGCATAGACTTTCAAAAAATCAAGAAATGGTGGGCTAAGTCTGCAGTAGACAGAAGAGTAAAAGAACAAAATGGAGGCTTGTGGGTGTGAAGCTGAAAGCACAGACAAGAACAGAAGAGATCTTATTCATAAAAAAAAAAGAAATAAAACAGCGGAAAAGACAAATAAGCAGTATAAAATAAGAGCAAATTAAAGTTTCTCACTTTAGCAGTAAGATTCAGCCGTAGGGCCAAAGAATTCTTACATTGTTTAAGGGGATTTTTTTTTTACAGAAACATTGCAGTATTCTGCCATTAGCAAGGAATGGAGGAGAAGAAGTTCATCCAAAATGACTAAAGGACGGTTACAGGTTTTAGACTGATCTGAGTGTAACTTCAATTTCTTTTTCAGGCATAACATTTGAGGACTTTAGATTTATAACTGATTCGTTATTCTAGAACGTAAAGTTTCGCCTCCTGTAAATGGAGTTTATAGAAAATTATTAATTAATTTTTTTTTAAATAAGAAAATTATTAATTTATTATAAATGATAATCATAATTTTTAGGAAAAAGATATTTCCTAATGTTAATAGGGTACTGAAGTGTAACTCACTGAATTGTTTCAATGAACTTAGCAAACCACAGGTTAGTCTCTAGTTCTGAAATATAAACTGAAATGGAATGAGATCAATGCATACCTCATGCACACAGGCAGTGCTATTTCTTGCCATTAAACTGCATTTACGTGCATCATTGTGCCGCGTAGAATTCTGATTTCCACAATTAACCCCCTCGGCTGTCCCAGATGCATTCCGAACAGGTACAACAGTCTCAGTGTTCATGTCTCGCTTGGTCATCTCAGCACTCACAGTTTCAGCTACTTGTAAAGCATCCGGGAGCGGGTCTTTGACGATTGCTTCTAACTCCAATACACTAGTTTGAAGTTCTTCTCGCACTCTATTATACTCAGGAGTTAGAACAGGACTGCATTTACTGACTACTAGCTCTTCATCTGATTCCCCAGTCTCGAATATCTTTGCTCCACGGCATCTCCAATGCCGAGCATGCTTTTGTCTTGACAACTCTTTCACCTTGCAGATTTCTGTATAGAAGGAACAGAAGCAGCATGCATATGTAGTTAGTTATTATAAACTGTAAAGTGATGAAATTAATATTGACAATAATAATCGCAATAAAAATGAGAAGAGTCAATTGTTATTTGTTATGGGCTGAGAATGATTATATCTTGTGGTGTTTAGTTTATTGACAGTTTGATTTGTTAAAGAAATATATGCTTTAATTTTTTCGTTCATATTGTTATATGATTTTGTTATATTGTACTCTTTGTTGTAGCTTTTTTTCCCCATATATCTGGTTGTTAGATTTTATTTCGACTAGATATGGACAACAAAGACAGAAGTACCAGTTTGGAAGACAAAGGGTATCCTCTTAATTTTCATTATATTAATTCTATTTCTGAAAAAAGAAATCTAGTACGGTTAAGAAAAAATATGATTATATAAGCCAAAATAAGATAAGCCTAGTCAAACGGCCATCATATATCAAGAAATCTGTTAAAAAGATCGCACTCCTGCAAGTTATCTTTCTGGTTAACATTTACAAATTGCACAGCGTTCACATTTCAAAACTGCAACAGGGGAAAACTATAACAAACAAAATAAAAGAATTCCACCCATCAAGTCGTCCAAAACCACAATAAGAAGCGAAATTAGACCACAGTCTACTAAAAGAAAGACTTTCTTGATTCTCATATTTGTATGTTACAAGCATTGTTGGATACCAAGAGGCACATGGACCAAAAAAACAACATAATGACAAGAAAAAGACATCCAAGGCCTATCACCTTTTGTGTAAAGCTTCAATGCAATTGAGAAATTGTGTGGCTCACTATGAGAAAAATGAGATATATTCCATAAAAAGTTTCCGAGAAGAATTTAATGGAGGACAGTTATGTAAAAGTGCAGAGAATAAGCATAAAAATAGGGACGAGGATTAGCAGTGCGCAAATTGTGTAAGAGACTAATGAGAGACAAGACAATGTATACACCTTCCTCTCTAGAGCCCCTTTTTGTCCCCTCAGATTTTCCCCCTCCTCCTCCTTCCTCTCCTTCTTTCTCTGTTTTCCTTGTCCCTTCTTCTTCGAGGGCCGTACCAGTCTCTACCACAACTTTAAGATAAGCATATATACATATCCTGTCATCAAACGTCCTCACCTTATATAAATCAAAAACAAAACGAAACCAAAGCTCATACAATACCTTTCCCATTGGCAACAGCTCCTTCACTAACCAACAGCCGAGATACATCTTCGCCGGTCTCTTTACCGTTAAAGTTGTGCGCTTCCGCATGCTCGACCATTTCAGTATCATGCTGAACCACCACATCGGAAAAACCATGCGGTTCCTGCTGAGCATTGTCCGCCCGCGTTCCGTCGCCAGCAACATTAGTCCCCGGTCCTTCCTTCATCTCCGTTATCTTCCTAATCGCCACTTTTTCAAGATACGGAGGACCCATCACCGTAAACGCCTCGGTGACATACTCGCCAACCGAGGTTAAAGCATCGTTCCTGGTATTCCTCTGCGTTAAATGTAAGCACATTTCCTTGTCCCAAGTAGCAGCTTCTACCTCCTCCCTGCACTTGCTCAACTCCTGCGAGCAAACCAGTTCGCTCTTCCCTGAGAGACTCCGAATCCTCTCTCTCCATATCCTGTTTACTGCTTCCTGGTATTTTCGTCTGTTGACCCCACCGCTCACGAGGTATTTCACTGTGCACTCCACCGCCACCGCGCAGTAAGCCCGCTTCATCGAGTCCGTAATTTTGCAATCTTCCTTACTGTCCAGTTCCTCGATCGTCTGGAGGGAGTCGAGGATTGTCTCAGACACCGAACCCTCCGCAATCTCGTCAGAGATCCACCGCAGAACCACGGTTTTCTTTAACCGAGTATTATCCTCTGGAAGTTCGAGACCAGACAAGAGCTTCTTGAGGATATGATCCGCAAGTGGTCGCCTGATAATGTACTCCGCTATCCAACCGGAGATGGTTTTATCCATCTCCGGTTCCATTCCAGTACAAAAAGGAAAACTTGAAGGAAAATTCAGGGCAGAGTTTCTATTAAGAAGCATTCAATTCATGCACCAGTATCCTCATCTCAATAATTCGATTCTCTCGAAAGAATATCAATTAGGGTTTCTGCGAGCCCCCAATATGCCACCCGACTGTTACTGTTCTTTTTTCCCGGTTTACGCCCACGTGGAAATAATCATTTATAAATAATAAAATATTATGTCATTTAAATTAAATATTTATAAATATAAAAAAAAAATGTTAATAATAAAAATTAAAATTTTTATTCAAATATTTTTTTTAATTGTTTTATTAAGTTTTTTTTTTTTTTTTTAATTTCAACCGTTATTTTATCAAATATTTATTACTTACATAATAAAAATACATTAATTAAAAAAGTTCTTAAAAGTCGAAACACAAATCACTTTCAAAGTATGAAACTTTACATAATCCCAACATACATGACTGGAAATGGAAATTATGGAATCATTAAACAAGACTTAACAAAGCTTCCACTAACATCACCAGCTGAAAGTAGAATGGCTAGATTCAAGAAATCAGCTAATCTGCAAGCTTAATCTCAAATTAGTTATAAATAACATATAAACACCCAGTTAATCAAATTGTAAATGCCTAATGCTGCTACAAATCCAACAACATCAATCACCTTCTTTTATACAAAATATCTGCTACTCATTTTTGACAGTAGGAAGTAAAAGCCTAGACCATATGAAAACCGAGGAAAAACAAACAAACAACAAAAATGGCAGGACTTATAATCAGGCGCAGCAACGACCCTTCTTTTGTTCCTGATCCTGTCCCGGAACAATAATCCTTGTCCCCTTAAGAAGGCCGGAATTGCCACTGTGATCTAACTCGCTGTTAGCAGTGAGTGTCTTCTTGCTGATTATTCGGTATATCTCTGTTAGCACTGTCAGGAAAGCGGTTTCAACATTGGTGGCCTCAAGAGCTGATGTTTCCATGAAGACTAGATTCTCTCTCTGGGCGAACTCTTGGGCATCTTCGGTTGGTACTGCTCGAAGACTTCCCAAGTCACACTTGTTACCTATGAGCATGATAACTATGTTCTTATCAGCGTGGCCCCTTAATTCCTCCAGCCATCTTGCCATGTGATCAAATGACTGGCGCTTGGTCATGTCGTAAACTAGCATTGCGCCAACAGCTCCGCGGTAGTATGCACTTGTCACTGCCCTGTACCTGAGGAAAGGTAGAGGAAAACAACTTCAGGGGGATGACCATAACTTGAAATTCAATACACCGACTTATAAGTTATTAGAACTTGATCAAGAAGACTACCAACCAAAAGCTGATTCTGTAGGCTTACACGAGAACACTTTATAACCAACGAATAAAAAGGAAAAGGCTGGTATGATTTAATGCTTTCCAGCCCCACAGTAAATACAAGTTTCAAATTTTTGCACAGATTTGTATGAAAAAGAAGAAAGATAAGCTACTTTGACTTAAATAATACGAATTTCCAGCCTCTAAATATGTAAAACTCGGTTTGTTACCATAACTTCTGTAAGCAAGCTAATATCAACATGCAGAAGAAACAACAGTATATAGTCCATGAATTTCTGCTTTTATGTCCCTAGTAAATTTATCCATAAATTTTCCTCCTTTGTTTTCTTTGTAGTTCCTATTGATGGTATGCCTGTGGCGTGGAGGAGGATGATACCATAGATGGGAAAGTATGATGGTAGCTAGGTTGAAAAGTTTTAATAGACTGGAGTTTAAGGGAAAAAATGGAAATGGAACATTATTTCTTACGTAGTTACACACATTGCACTTGTGATGCAGAGTCTATCGCGCAATTGTTCAGTTATGATATAAATATAGATTTTCAGCTTATTTTTACAGATAATATAATCATACACTACAAGACAAGTCTTAAAGCTTTTGAATCATTCATGAACACAGTCAATGGAACTGAATTCTTTAACGAACATAGGTTTTTCAAATTTCCACTTCAAAATGTAATCTTATTTCAGAGAAAGATAAAATTTGTTAAAGCAGTGAGATAGAATCCCAATGGTGGAATTTTCAGCTATAGTCTTTAAACTGAACGCTTTGATGAACATTGCATTCTTCAAGCTCACTTGGAAATATAATCTTACTTCAGGAAGATGAAGCTTGCTAAAGCAGTGACATATAATCCCAACAATGGAATCCTTTGTCATGAAAAATTATCTAAAAGAAGTTTCTGATAATGCCAAAAGGGTATTTCTTTTGAGACTTAAGTGCATCTCAATTGCATTTTATAAGCAGGAACAGAAGAAGGAGATCAAAAGAAGTATGAATATGAAAAGCTGGAGTCCATAGAAATGCTTAAATGGGCTCCCTTAAACAATACAATTTGTAGAATGCCAGATGAATCCTCTCATCAGCAGGTTGCATGAATAGACCCTCGAGGGTTACATTTAGTCAGTAGAAAACTTCCATTTAGTTGAAAAAAAAATCAAAGCAATAATCAACAGACACTTGAAGATTATAATGAATTGATAGAGAATGATAATGAGCTAAGAACTATACAGAACTAAGATGCCAGCATCATCCATGGTCTAACTCATTTCATAGACAGCCAAATAGGTGTTTGGGTTCAACATTCAATGAAGAGATGAGAAAAACAACCATCAATCATAAAAGAATAACAAGCAATAGGCATTTGAAAAACCAAAATACTTGAAAGAAGTAATCAATTGGGAATAAAGAGTCATTCTAGATGTCTTCACACGACCTTCGTGTCAGTTTAGCTCATCTAAAGTCAAATTATTATTCTTCACAAAGACACACTTTTCTTCTATATTTCTTTCATTCTAAATTCAATGCGCTCCTTTTTCATCATATATCAAATTTAAGATTTTCCTTATCTAAGCATTTGCTTAAGCAACCAATCCAGTATGTTTTCAGAAGTGAATACCTCCATGTTAGTATTTCTACAGAAGGGTATAATTATAAAAATGAGCGCAAGGTAAACAAAATGGTAAAATTTCGAAGGTCCCTCTCTTCAGAAGTAGATAAGCACCTATTAGCTTATATTGAGTTTCCACTTCTGCCAAAGAATAAATCATAACAGAAACTCGGCCACCTGTTGCATCTATTACGAACTATATATGTAACATGAACCCTCTAACTTTATTGCAGTGGTATTTGGCAGCTAGGGTTCCTTGACTATCAAAATCGAGCAGTGACTATTTCCACTAGGCTTAGCAAACTAAACTCTTAACAATGAAAAGCGAGCGGAAAAAAAAAAAGTGTTCAAGGAAATTTTCTCATACAAAATACTTGAACAGAAGTAATCAATTGGGAATAAAGGAAAAGTCATTCTAGATGTCTTAACACAAACTTCGTATCAGTTAGTTTAGCTCATCTAAAGCCAAATTTATTCTTCACCAAGACAAACTTTCCTTCTATATTTCTTTCATTCGAAATTCAATGCGCTCCTTCCTTTTTCATCATATACCAAATTTAAGATTTTCCTCATAAGCAACCGATCCTGTATGTTTCAGAAGCTGACTATCTCCACGTCAATATCTCTCTAGAAGGGTACAATTATAAAAAGTGAGCATAAGGTAAACAAAATGGTAACATTTGGAAGGCCCCTCTTCAGAAGAGGATAAGCACCTATTAGCTTCTATTGAGTCTCCACTTCTGTCAAAGAGTAAATCATAAAATAAACTCGGCCATCTGCTGCAACTGTTGGCGAACAATATATGTAACATCAACTCTATAACATATCAAAACTACGTCACCACAGGGGTGAAATCTAACCTTATTGCAGTGATGTTTGGCAGCTGGGGTTTCTTGCTATCAAAATTAAGCAGTAATTTTTTCCACTGGACTTAGCAAACTAAACTCTGAACAAGAAAAACGGAGCGAAAGAAAAAGAATGTCCTAAGAAATTTTCATTGCTTGTCTTAGAGATCAGCAGATTCCAAACAACATGGTGTCCCTGGGAACCATAAGGCTTATACACATTCATCTCTATATACAATCACGGGCAAGAAAAACAAGGACATGGGTAATGCTAAAAGATTAATCACCCTGTCTCTCTTTTCTCAATCTGTGAGAATTTACAACAAAACTACAAAATAACATCATTTATCATCAATTACAGTCACAAAACAATGAAGAAATAAGTATAAACTCCACTAAGGAATTCATATGTGGATTATCTTTTTACTTTCAGGATCAAGAGCCAACAATTACGCCTCATGTCATACTAACACAAACCCTAATGTAATCAATAAATATCTAATAGGATAAAAAGTGCAGACCTTTCTTGCCCAGCAGTGTCCCAAATTTGTGCCTTCACCGTCTTGTTGTCAATAACCAGAGTTTTGGTCTGAAATTCAACCCCGATAGTGGCTTTCGAATCTATACTAAATTCATTTCTCGCAAACCGCGCAAGGAGCTGAGATTTTCCAACTGCTGAATCGCCAATCAATACAACTTTGAAGACATAATCAATCTTTTGATTATAATCTCCATATAAGTTTGACATTGTCACCACAAATCAGATCCCAATCAAATACTCCTCCGAAACCCAGACAATTCTGAACATAAAGCACTATCAGGCCCTAAAAGGAAGCTACCGAGATCAATCATGTGCATGCATTATGAAGAAACCGGACCAAGAGGTCTACGTTGGTGGAAGTATAGATCAAAGAAGATAATGCGGAGTAGTTAGATTTAATTTGTAATGGTAATCAGGGTAAATTTTCAAAATCAGAAACTTGGAATTACCAGTTAGGGTTCGTTTCAGGAGAAAGGATCAGAAATTTTTGGGCACGAAGGATTTGTTGAAAGGCGTAGAAATTCAGAGAAAGGGAGAGAGAGGAGCCAGGGAAAATTAACGGTCAGTGTGGGACCCGATAACGGCTTTCTTGGTTGGAAACGCTTCTACCGTAAGATCAGTTGACGAGCGGCGGTATGTAATAGATCAGGACCGTCGAACTTCAAGACTTGAATCTTCAAATCAACGATGATATATTTATTCAAGTCTGCTGTTTACTAATTTGTGTTGGAATTATTCGATTCAGTCCGGTTTTAAATATCATTTGGTCCGGTGTTCAGTCTAATTAATATTTTTTTAAATATTAAACTTAAAATAGTAAATATATTATTTAAATTATATAAATTAAATATAAAAATATTATATATATAAATAAAATTTAACTCATTAATTATTAATATAATTATAATACAGAGGTAT